AATAATAGGAGAATCGCGATACACACCTTTATTCTTGAAGAATACTTCTAGATCCATCTTTGACTATATTACAGAATTTTTTTTCTGTTGTTGGGTTTACATTTGTCCCAAAGCGATGTTTTCTGTGCTTTTTCGAGTAGTTTTGCTTTGATATCAAGCGGGATCCCTGTGTCGTGTACACGAATTTACGGACGGACGGACGGACGGAAGTGACGTAGTTTTCAAGCCATGAAAAATCATGAAAAATCAACTCGATAGGTTACCAATTCTAGAATCTGCGTCTTCTGGTTTGTGTTACCAAAGCCTTAGATTTTTTTGTTGATAAGGCCGGATACAAGAATGTATCCTTTACCTACGGTGCGATTACAGTAACCAAGGCCTCCTAAACAAATTTTTAAATCAAATTCCCTGAATCGCATCTTTGACGCCGAATGACATGATGGGGAAGAATTCAGGAGCTTAAACTGTTTCTTATGCACTCTTGATAAAATTAGACTGCGAGCAGTCCTTTGGTCACTGTCCGTGTCGAATAATAATAATAATAATAATAATAATAATAATAATAATAATGATAATGATAATAAAGATGTGTTTTTGTAACGCTCAGTCTTAACCATAGGTAATATATAATTTCGGATTCCTGACCGTAAAATTCTAGTTTTTTCAGGTGGAAGTAGATGTGCAARAGGATGCCCCGGATTTTTAATAATATTATTCCATAGTACACTATCTAAACTTGCTATGATCTCATTATTTCGTGTTACATATTTAAGATAACCAAATTTGACATTCCTCTTTTGTAATTTGTCAATATTAACTAAATATTTTGAGTGACTTGCACACCCCCATACAGGAAGAGCATATTTAAAAAGTGATATTATGAGTGAATTAAAAAGATAATGAAGATTCTCCTGACCATATCCGTACCTTTTGCAGATTCTTGATATATACATCCTTTTCCCTGCTTTACTTAATATATTGTCAAATTGAGAGTCTCAGTCATTTGTACTACGATTAAACCTAGTAGTTTGATATCATCCACCTGTTAAATACTGTTATCGGTGGCCCAGTTCTTAATGGAATCCACCGCTTCAGAAGAACAATCATTATACATGTATACGTACTTGGTCCTATAGGTACTTAGTGTATTTAAAGTGTATCTATAGGTACTCTGCGTATTTTACTTATAAGGTATATGATTTTATATCATTCACCATTATTGAAAATAGAGTTTGCCCGTCAATTGTACCTTGTGGCACGCCTCTAWTTATTGGTAAAAAACTAGTCTTCATATCAGAAAAAGAAATTCTTTTTGTTGTCTTCCTGTACTAAATTCCATAACCAGTTATAAATGTATGGATTAATTGGAAGCTGACTAAGCTTGTTAAAAAGAAAAGCATGATTAACATGGTCGAAAGCTTTATAAAAATCGAAAG